GTCTTACCTCCTCGTTCCTGAACCTGAGTTCACACTCATCGACGGGGACACCCCAGCACTTCTTACGTAGAGGCCGATGATCTCCTGGACAACAGACCAGTGGCGCCGAGACGAAGGGAGGTCCACGCAGAAGTTCAGGGGTGCAGCCGTAGAGAACGTGGGCAAAGATAGACCGTCTCACGCCTCTGCCTCTCAGCTACCGTTGAACGATGAGCTTCCCGGCCAATGCACCAAATGATACCGGAGAAACTGACGGAAGCAAAGCACAGAGGGATGGACACAGGTTTCTTCAGGAAGGAAGAGATTCTTTATTGGATCACCGATCGGGACTCAGAGGGACTAATGTCACCAAAAATACAGCAAGTTCTGAGCCCTGAACAATAGTGCAGGCTCCCTATATAGGCACATAACTCCTCCCATATTAAGCTCCACCCGCACATTCTCTTGACCAATCATTACAAATAAGAATTAACTTCCTGCTTGACCGCATGGCTTGTCCAGCACAATGGAGGAGGGGAATACTACATCCTGTATTCTTGCACATGCTCCGTACACTACTGATCGATACGTCAGCATATGCACGTACACATGCCACGTGGTAATCTCGGCCTACTAAATTTATTTTTACCGAGATTCCACCTCAGGAATACTTATATATAAAAAAAAGTATAATTAAAAATATAGGAAAAATAAGCCATCCAATCAAAGGTCATATGGTCTTAAAGAAAAAGGGTTAATACCCCCATTTTTTAAAAAGGGAAAAATTAAATAAGTGTGGCCTTCTCAAAGTCGACGTTGAGCCCGCAGGGAGATAGGGTGTCTAAATTAAAAATCCACCTCATCTCACAGCGGTTAGAAGCCGACTCAAGGTGGCCACCTCTCCAGTATTAGTAATCAATTGGATATCAAAAAATTTTTTATTTGGAATGGTTCAGAGGATTTACTAAAAACATTTTTAGCTTTCTTAAATACAAATGATGGGGAGTAAAACTAACCACGGAGTATAGCACAGAAAGTGTTAATTTTTTAGATCTCACAATTTTTATAGAAGACAATCGTATCAAGACAAAGACCTATTTTAAACAGGTAGATGTTAACAACTATATTTTTTTAAATAGTTGCCATTTTTCCCCTTGGTTGAGAAATATCCCAAAAGCACAATTAATGAGAATCCGCAGGAATTGTACAGATCAAAGCACTTTTAAAGTCCAAGCCAATAAAATTAAAAATCAATTTATGGAGAAGGGGTACATGGAAAATTCCCTTATAAATACTATAAAAGAAGTGGAAACCATGGAGAGATCCTCATTGTTAAAATATAAACCTAAAGAAAAAAACGAACAAAACACCTTACCTTTTATCTGCAATTTCAATCAAGAAAGCCATAGAATAAAACGAATTATAAATAGACACTGGCCTATATTAAGAAATGACCCAATGCTGTACTCCATATTGCCAGAAAAACCGAGATTTATATATAGAGGAGCTCCCAACTTGAAACAGAAATTAGTACGAAATCACATAAGACACCAAACATCTACTCCTTTCTTTCAGAATAAAGTTTTTTTTGGCTGTGGACAGTGTCTAGCATGTAGAAGTACAAAGAGTGTAAAAAGACACATCACAGAATTCCACGACTCTAAAAGAGAAAGGAAATATAAAATACACGAAATGACCACATGTTTCTCAAAAAGAGTCATATATTTATTGAAATGTTCTTGTAATCTCCTCTATGTAGGAAGAACGAAACGCCCTTTAAACATAAGAATAAACGAACATATACGCAATATAAGAAAAGGTTTTGAAAAACACAGCGTTTCAGATCATTTCAGACAAGTACATAACAAAGATCCGCAATTTCTAGATTTTTACGCTATTCAAAAAGTTACACTAAATTGGAGAGGGGAGGACGAAATAAGGAAGTTAGGTAAAATCGAAACTAAATGGATTTTTAATTTAAATACCTTAGCCCCCTTAGGTCTTAATGCAGATTTTGAATTATGCCATTTGTTATAATTGATTAATTTTAATTAAATCTTATTTTATTATTTCTATTTAATTTTATTTTTATTTACTTTCTCTTTTTCTAATTTATTTTGATTCATTAATTATTATTATTTATTTTTACTCTTATATTTTTATATATAATTTTTTTATTTTTTACTCTTTATTATTTATTTATTTTATTTTTATTTTTATTTTATTTTATTTTTTCCTCTCCCTTTTATTTATTTTTAATTTTATTTATTTTTAATTTTATTTTATTTTTATTATTTATATTTTTATTTTATTTTATTTTTATTTTCATTTATCATTATTATTATTATTTTTCACTATTCAATTAATTATTTTCATTTATATATTTTTAATCTTTATTATTAACCTTTTTATTCTAACAAGAAGAACCTTTTATAAACATTTTTTTCCTATTCTAAATTATTTTTAACAAGAAGATAAAATTCAATAACTGCAAGAGACACTAAAACCATTCAAATTTGATTTAATCCATTACAACTATGGGACCTATATGTAAGTCTGTAATTCTAATTAAAAAACGTTATAAATGAGATTCAGAGGGAACACTATTTCAAAACATTTATTGTATATAAGTCAAAGTCTAAAAGTGTGTCTAAAATATTTTTACTCCCCCCCCCTCTTCCTTATTTCTGAAACAAGAAATACATAATATAAAATGTCTATTAAGTGTAAAATATATATTGTCATACAAGGTATATGATATACAGTGTCTAAATTTGGAAACCTGTATATGGATTATTTGAATATTGATATATGCTCTTTGATACTTTTCTATGCTATTTCGGCTCTTCATTTTTGAGTCCGATACGAACTGAAGGAAATGACGATATTAAGGACTACACTACCCATCAGTATATTGTTTCACAACCGGAAGTGACATCCACGAACGCAAAGAACTATGGGGCATGTAGTAAAAACAAACCGGAAGTGACGCGACGCCATTTCGGGCGCGTCATAACAAATCACTACGGACCGGCAAAAAAGAATTTTTTGGCGGGAAAATTAAGATTTAAAAGGCAGAGAAGAGAGAAGACACCCTGAAGCCGACTGAGGAAGCCGATTTTCGGTGAAATGCGTTTTGGCTGCAAGTGGACCTATGCTAGACCACTTAATACATTAGTATTACTTATATATGTTTTTATATATTTTTTGTTTTTATAATAGTTTGTATACATTTTAATATTGATAATAAATATAGTTGTTATATACTTCACTTCCTGCATCCTGTACAAGTGATTCAAGAAAGGGATAGTGTCACCCTACAAATTGACACTGAATCTATATACTTAGAGCCAGTTAAAGAGGCTCTAAAGAAGGTGAGCACTTTGTTGGATTTCATTTATATTGATACACATTGGTATTTAAAAATACAACATTTAGTTTGGACGTTTCTTTCTCTGTTTCATCTTATATACTCTGGAGAGTAACAGACGAGAGAGGGGTCGTGTGGTCTACCCAAAAGACACAGACGCTTGGAAGTTTAGAGCCTTATCACTGCAAAAGGCTCTAAAGAATGTGAGTTAATTTACGTTACAACTCACACGTATAATCTAAATTTATCAGACATATTGCACTATTATTTGTATATATCTCTTTTCTTTTTTATATACAAGAAAATATAAGCACTGTATAGATGGTAAGTGCATTGTAAGCACTACATATGTATATTCACAACTGTTAAAGTTATATTTAAGCGCTACACTCATGGAAATTGAGGGTTTAAAGGGATAGATACCTGATAAATCTGGTTTTTTTTTATTTTTTATTTTTGCATCCCATGCAATTACCACAATAATGAAATCCTTTACTGGTATATATATATATATATAAAATTAATATTAGTAGGTATATCTTATATAACTAGAGGTAAGTATCTGCCTAAGATGTGTAGCTCCTCTCTATAATATCCTCTTTATCTTATTTTAACTGTTTAGATTTAAATACCAGTAGGGATTCTCTATCTAATTCCTGAATTAATTTGATTTCCTCGTCTTGGTGGTCATGATAACCATGGTCTAGAAATTGGCTTTTTGGCTTTTTAGTAATTTAGCCTGGTCTTTAAATAAATCCAGCTCTGTACAGTAACGTCTTCCACGAAGAAATTGACTTCTAGGGATATTTTCTAGCCAGGGTTGGAAATTGCAACTTTCTTTGTGGATATAACTATTTACATCCACTTTTCTTTTTTTTTAAAGTGCATGTGCTGATCTAGTTATCTTTAATATAAATTTCCAAGTCTAAAAATTAAATTTTATTTCTTTGCTAATTTCCTGGGTTAAATGGATGTTCCATTGATTAGAATTTAGAAAATATTAAAAAATCTAAAACAGAGGGCTTGTCTCCCTTCCAAATAATAAAAATGTCACTGATGAGCCAGTTACAATGGGTTGTAGAGCAGTCTATGTAGATGTTCTAGACTCCATCTGCCCTCAGAGAGGTTTAAACATGTCTAGAAAGGTAAAGTTGTTGAAGGATCTGTTCAGCTAGAAATTGTAAGACTTTGAGCATTTTGATCTTAATGTCCAACTGCTGCCCCAGCTTTAAGGGTCCTTTCTTTTTATATCCATAAACAAGAACTACCTTGAGTCCGTTACAGTAATTACTGACCCCACAGCTTCATTAACATCTCACCTGTCAGGGGGAATTACTAGGTCATCACGTGTTTAAGTTTTTCTTTCTTTCTCGCAAAATGGTTCATAAATCACCACTCTTTTTTTTCTGGCTCCTCCATACAGCTGTTTGAAGAAGATTATAATATCTGTGAGATCATGCATTTCTATTTATTTATTTAACAGTTCTTTGGTGACTATAGTGTCCCTTTAGGGTTTCTTTCTTTTTCTACTTTAAGGGTCCTTTTCCATTTTCCATTAAACAAGAACTATAACTTTAGTCTGTTACAGTACACACCCCCATCCCGCTTCATTAGTTCACCTGTCAGGGATAATTACTGTAATATTGGGTATTTAATCCTCGTCCCCAGATGGTTCACCAATCACCTCGTATACTGGTTCTTCAACCGTCTCAATACAGCTGTTTGCAAGAAGATTATAGCAGATTATAATTCCGTTATAATTCTATATATCGAGATTCACTCTATAGAATCCCATAGAGAGAAATGGTCCAGCATGGACACTATGAAGCACTGAGATGTTTCCTTCACTAACTTTCATCAGCTTCACTAACATCTCACCTCTCAGGGGGAATTACTGGGACATCGGGTGTTTTAAATTTTATTTCTGTCTTGCAAAATGGTTCATAAATCGCCACTCTTTCTTCTGGCTCCTCCATACAGCTGTTTGAAGAAGATTATAATATCTGTGAGATCACACATTTCTATTTATTTATTTATTTAACAGTTCTTCTACAGTGCTCTAAACCAGAATGCTGTAAGAGACATGGCAGGCTGAATGGAGAGAGTGCGGACAGGTGGGCGTAATGATAAGATGAGTCTTGGAGCACAACTCGAGGCTGTGCTCCAAGACCAGTTTACAGAGGTAGAAAAGTGGATCGCAAAAAACAAACTCTGAACACTGTCAAAACTGTCACAATGATCTTTGGAACAGTATCTAAATTACACAAATTACACAATTCCCACCTATCCATCAAAACAAATTCAAATGGCACACTGACCGCAGTCCACTCTTTCAAATACTTTGGTATGATTGTAACGGACCGTTTTGCCCAAAAGAGGTTAAAAACCGTTTAGGCAATATTCCCCTTTTTCAGCTGCACCGACAGCTACTGCAAGCACCAATCTCCTGAACTGCAAACCCACGAATTCACCAACTCCTGAACTGCAACCCAGGGAATACTCGAAACTCCCGAACTGGAGACACACGAATAGCTGCTAGCAGACGAACAGGAAAAGCCCCCAAGAGGCTTACACTCTTGGCAATCAGTCTCTAACAGCATACAGTAAATCCTCCCCCAATAATGAGACGACAGTTCACTTTGAGGGGTAAGCAGGAACTGATTACTGGGGCTAACTGCCCGGCTTTTATGCAGGTCTCCCACCTGGTGGACACTCCCCTAGGGGACCAAATGGGAGACTGGGACACAAAGGGTAAAAGGACCATTTACAGACTTACACATTTCAACCATCCCACAATGCATCACAATCCCTCCTCTCTGCCCTGGAGATAATTGGGAAGTAATTCAATTATCTCCAAAGACAGAGGCAAAACTCCATTAACCACATGGCAGAAAACAAACAGTAAAAGACATAAAATTACTTACAGTTACATTCAGTACAGAAAACATAAACATTCTACATATGCCCAGATAGCTCAGATCTGAGCGCACATTATTAAGCTAATGGTGCTCAGACCACACGAATACAGTTTAATCGCCATGGAGCCAAAGTCTTTACACGGTCAGTTTCATGCGAATGGGCTCCATGGGATTCCTATCTGAGGCACAACACACTCAAACAAAACTACCGAACACCGGGCCATTCGTGCACTTTCACCGAACAAGAGGGGAGGTCGGCGGCTTCAGCGGTGTTCGCGCAAAACTGTGTCCGACTTCAGTTCCACGAATTAAGCGTCGAACACCGCTGTGCATTCGCATGTTTAAAATGGCCGCGACCTCGTGTTCGTGATACGAATGGCGGCCACCCAGCATTCGTCAATTAAGCTGCGGTTAACCGCAGCTTCAGGGACGTTAATTGCCGGCACACTCCAGCTCCCAGGTGGTCTATTCATTCGTGCGGTTGTTCGGTAGATTGAATCTACCGAACACCCGGCAGAAAAGCACGAATAAGTCTTTTCTGCAGGGAAAAAAGATGTCTTTTAACATGGGGCCATAGGCCATAGTCCAAAGGCAGCAGACGAGTAACCAGGCTTCTCCAGTGTACAGTGGCGAGGTTGGTTTCGCCACAATGATGTTAGACCCCAATCTATCTTTTGGCCTCCACATAGAAAAACGTGCATCTAAACTTTATCCAAAACTAGGTGCCCTGTACAGAAACAAATCCTGCCTAAGCCCTACAGTAAAGGAAAAGATTGTACTTCAAATGCTGATGCCAATCATTGATTATGGGGATGTACTATATGCATCTGCATCGCAATCCCACATTAATAAACGCAACACATTGTATAACTCGTTCTGCCAATTTGTGCTACAATTTAATTACAGGACTCACCATTGTGACATGCTAAAAGAACTAAACTGTCTGTCGCTGGAATCCAGACGCACCCTTCATCTTTCCTGCCTTGTGTTTAAGAGCTTTTCTGGGAAACTCCCACCCTGAACACAATGCTTTCCTCGGCTGTTCCCACCTTCTATAACCTCCGATCCAGTACCAGCACTTTATTTAGTCAACCTCAATACAAAAAGAAAGCAGCCTGATCCTCCTTCTCCTACAGAGCGCCGCAATTGTGGAACGACCTCCCGCACAATTTAAAATCTTCCCTAAGCCTAAAGTCCTTTAAGAGATCCCTCTCTACATACCTCAAAACAGAATGCACCTGTCATGGTTGATTATATATTTCCTACCTGTTCTATGTTAAATTTTGTATTTATTGTGTATTAATATTGTTTTTGTATTTTATTGCACCCTAATGTAACAATGCAATGATTTGTGGACCCAGGACATACTTGAAAACAAGAGAAATCTCAATGTATCTTTCCTGGTAAAATATTTTATAAATAAATAAATATTTTATAAATAAATAAAGAAGAGTATAATCTTTTCTTATTTAACGTTATACAAAGCTGTGCAACAATCTGCAAGCGATCTGTGAAAGATGGTGAGTGAGCTGTTGGATGAAGAATTGGTTAGTGAGATGCACAACAAATGGGTTAAACTGAAGGGGGGGGGGTGAGTCACATGGTGTTATTAACTCTTTACATAGTACATGCAACAGATGGAAATCCAGAGTACAGATACAAAGCAATTAGTTTCTTATCTCATTACCAGCAGATTTTTAAACAGTCACAGAGTCCATTCCAACAGCAATCTTTGCAGAGTCTGAATTTGCTGCAATATAAAAATACAGTGTCATAGAGACTTAAACGCAGGAAGGAGGGGGAGCGATAACCAAAATCACTGGTGAGAGGGTAACATAAACACAGGAATATATTAGGCTAATAACAGACAGGCTGTTAATAAAGAATGCCAAAGTAAACAGCACTAACGTTTTGATAAACAAATTTAGAGTGTGACCGTGATCTATACAGCTACATTGCTTTATTAAGCTAAAGATGTTTTGGTGACTATAGTGTCCCTTTAGGGGTCCATTCTTTTTCTACTTTGAGGGTCCTTTTCCATTTTCCCATAAACAAGAACTATAACTTAAGTCTGTTACAGTAATAGTCCCCCCAACCCCCCACCCCTCTCCCGCTTCATTAGCTCACCTGTCAGGGATAACTACTGTAACTCTGGGTATTTCATCTTTTATTTCCTCGTCCCCAGATGGTTCATCAATCACCTCGTATACTGGTTCTTCAACCGTCTCAATACAGCTGTTTGCAAGAAGATTATAGCAGATTATAATTCCGTTATAATTCTATATATTGAGATTCACTCTATAGAATCCCATATAATCCCATTGTCCCTCCTCAATCTCTCAACAGCCCTGGCAAAACTTTAACCCCATGGCAAATTTACTCTGTTCGTGGGATCTGAGCGCTGTTCACCGATATTGTGTGCTCAAATCCGAGCTATCTGGGGATAGGTTAAATGTGGGGGTTGTGTGTAATATAATAGGAATTATGTATTTTTATGTATTTTACTGTTAGTGTAAAATTTAGATATTTTCTGTACCTGGAGATAATTAAGTTTACTGCAGTTCCTTAAGCCAATTATCTCCAGGATAGAGGGGAGGGATTTTACTGTGTGTGTGGGAGTGCTATTTTGTTAATTAGTGTTCCCATTGGTTTGTGTCCCTTTTGTCACAGTTTACCACCAGGTCCAGGGTGTGTGCCTCTGGCTTGAAAACCTGTATAAAAGAAAGTCCTTTTGTGTGCATTAAACAGACCTGCTTTCATCCCCTTATGAAGTCTTGGCTCATGTTTGGGGGATTGGAGAATTGCCTACACTCTGGGGATTGCTATATCACAATACTCCCCAGAGTAAGCTCTTGCAAGAGCTTGTTCTTGTTCCTGGTTCCTGCTCTCTGGACTTAGGAGAGATTCACCCACTGAAAGCTGGAGCCCGGTCTTGTGTCCAGGGTGGGTGTAGGGTGGCGAAACCTCAACCAAGCTATGGCAGTTCGTGGGGTTGGCGGTGGTTGTTGTGTCAAGTGCGGGGCTGATGGTCCTTGGCGAGCACTAGGAGCATCTTCTGACGGAGGCACCCAGTCGGGGTGGCAGGCGTTCCATTACAGATATTATTGGGATATTATATATATTGATATATACAATATTATATATAAACCCAGTTACAGCAATAGAGCCTTTAAACAATTGATATAGATTATTAAATGATCTAAAAGTGATTGCCAGTCATTTTTACTTTTTCTCGGAGGTCAAGGTTGTGGTGAATTCATACAGCTGGGGTGACTCTGACGTATCCATGACCAAGAATGATCCCAGATCTGTTGGAATAAACACAGGATTCCAGGAGAAGAGTTAAATTAGCAGATTGAAAAGAGAAACACTGAGCATGAAAGTCTCCTATTTTGGGGATCATTATCCCCAACTTTATATGTATAATACCGTATTCCTAGCATTTTAATGTTTCTATATGTATTTTTTACAGATTTCAGTTATTTGTTTTTAAATGAATCGTATAGTATTTATTTACTCCGAGGTAATCTACATTTTAGATGTTCGTTAAAGATTTCATTCCCTGTTATTCCCCAGCATCTATTAATATAAATATAGGTTTCTATCATCAAATATAGAAAGCGTTACAATCACAGCCATTTTATCATCCCATTTATTACTTCTATTTTATTATTATTAGCGTTTATATTTCTTCAACTTTTTCATCAGCGCTTTACAATATTATAATAGGGGGAAATTTAACAATAAATTAGAAAATTACAAAATGTTACAGGAACAATAGAATGATGAGGACCCTGGTGAAACGAGCTATTCACAGATTTTACCCCATTCCAGGAGAGAGTGGCGGGTTACCTGTTGCTACAGTGTGGACTAACAGATTGTTCAGTTTGATGACAGGACTGAACACTTTCTTTGTCTTGGTGTTGGGATCCCGTTCTTCCTTACATTTAAGAACCATCTTATTTCTCTTTTTCCGCAGCAGGACGAGCAGGTCATCTAAAAGTAGAGCTTTGATAGCAGGAAGCCAAGATAAACACCAAATAAACGTAGGTTCCCCTAAGTTAAACGATTAATCCAGACATGAACCCCCTGCCCACTGTGCCTAGTGGGGTATCAGCTGCACCTCACTGACAAAGAACCGTCTGATATGCAAATGGCATTGGTTTTAACCCTGAGCGGGGACTAACCAAAACGCAAGCTAGGTTTCTGTAAGCTTTTGTCCGTTCACTGAGTTCTCATATTCTCTGTTTTTGTTGCAATACATATAAATGTTTATTTACAAAACCCTTGACAGGCGCACAGTCGGATTTGCCGGCATATGCGCTAACCTTACCCAAACCCCCATTAAAACACGGACCCAGGTTATACTGTTGGAAATAATTAGTCCACAGCTTTATTAAATTATTAATAAAATAATTAAGGAATAACAAATGGGGTCATTGCCAACAAATCTTATTAAAGTTAACATCCCCCCATATACATAACATACCCCTAGCAATGACCCCACAATAATAACAATAGATAACAATCTAAATAACATGTTAATACAGAAACTGGCTGCCCAATATGACCACATTTCCACCAGGTTAAATTGTAGGGGTGTACAGAGACACCGCTACCCACCATATCGATTGTAGGGGTGTACCAAGACACCGCTACCCACCATATTCATTGTAGGGGTGTACCAAGACACCGCTACCCACCAGTTCCAGTGTAGGGTGTACCAAGACACCACCACACCCCCAGGTTCGGAGCCACCAACGGGCTCGAACCTACCAACCATGTGCAACACTGCCCAATCCACACTAAACCTCAGGATGCCCACTTTCTCCTCCATCTACCCTCTGATTTAACCAGGCCATTCCCCGCCACAGCTCAGGACTTGACACCTAAAGCTCCTGAGCGACCCCCACCACACCGGAATAAGGCCTGTTGAATGCCTTGCTGAAGGCCCAATTTAAACAGAGCACACCTTACATCCAAAAACTTACCCCATCCCCCTGGAGTACCCAGGGAGCTTGCCTCCCAATTTGTTGTGTCTCACAGTTACACCGCCCCCACATCTGATAAATACCGCCATCAATTTTTTATTAATTCGTCCTCGACATCGAGCCACCGCGGCCGCGTACCTACTATGTCTCCAATGTAACCGAGGAACCATCTCGGACCGCACCACCACCTCACCTGTGGCCAGCTGCCATAGCCGGTCCACCTCCCTCTGCCTCCACCTGATCAGTTCCTTTTCCGGGACCATACCGATATCCTTCCCGCCCTTGCGGATTACCAGAATGTCCTGGACAGTACCCCTTGTTACCTTCCAGAAAATTTTCTCCACTTATGCCTTGCCACCAAAACCCCCTGAAAACCAAAACCACTCCAGCTCCACCAATTCCAAAGGAAACCCAGTTTCGCTTGACCCCTTCTGCACCCCTTAGATGTAAGAGTGGCCCACCAACCATGTCACCAAACCTGAAATGAAAGTAATTAGCGACAAGGCATAGCCCCAAACACAAACCCATACGTCCATAGCCATTAAACCAAATAGACCGGCAGTAAACAGGACTTAAACCGTACTGACTCCCACCTGCCTAAACGTTTCCCCAGGTCCTCACTTAAAACCAGACGGGATGCCTCTGTCGCCGCCATTATCCGGGAAGAATGGACCCCAAAGTGCCCTGGATCCAAATCCAACATTGTCAAACCCCTCCGAACAAACCCCTGCGGGAATTGAATCGGGACAGCGCCGATCCGTCCCCTTTTACCAGTAAGCCACCCGGGATGCCCGGGCGAAGCTCCAAGTAGCGTGATGCGCTTGACGCCGGGCATACCCCTGGCCCCGGCAGGGAATATAGCTTTTTTTTTTTGACAACCGAGTGTAGAACCCCGAACACCCGCCCGAAAGGCACTCACCAGATCCCCAATCTGAATTGCCCCAAGCCCCCGAGAAGGCCACCGCAAACAAACTCACCGCAAAAGTAGAGTAACACACCACCAGGCATTGCGTTACCCAAGAAAACCAGCTGCCCGGCACCGACATATTTCATACCTCTCCGGTAGACCCGCGATGCCTGACGGATGTGACAACGTTCCGTCACTTCCTCCCAATCGGTCAGTTTGAACCCTAACGCCAATGCCGCCATGCTCCTGTCCATTCCCGATGGAGCTAACGCTGAACGAACAAGCGGCTTAGGAACCAGAGCAAGGTATCCATTTGCCCCTCCTTTGACTGGGACCACCCAGTGAAAACCAACCTGTCCCAACTCCCGCGCCACCTGGGGCCGCCATTCGCAGCTTGTCCCCTTGTGCGCGAGCTAAGTAACCAGCTCCTACCCTGCACCCGATATCAAACGACCTGCATAGTGATATGAATCGCCAACATCAGCATACCTCCTGAACCGAGGGCCCGGCTGGATGGTAAACCGCATGAACAGCGCTGTATTGTCCGTGAATTACAACTTTTCGTCCCTTAATCCTTCACCTTTTAGAGCCACGGCCACTCCCAATGGAGATAACTCAAAAGATGCCAACTTCGAATAAGAGGACTTTCATGCCTCCCACCACTGCTCCGCGCACCACCTGCCCCGGAATCTATGTTCCCAGAGGCATCTGTGAACAACTTGATACCACCCGCAAAGGCTCCACAAGTAGCTTTCGCAATAAATCGGCTACAGACCCATTCCTCGCGACTAACCCGACTTGCGAACTTGAAACTGCCTTATGAACAACTGCGATTTCTCAGCGTGACCTTCTTGGACCTGCGAACCTTCACCCTGAACTCCCGAAGTGCAGTCAACTGATCCCCAGGCAATCGATACGCTGCTACCACCAAAACAATTTCCAGCCCAAGCAAAGACGTGCGGTAGGATTCCCGCGACCGTAAGGTATGTCCACAACGGCCCGGCCCAGCCGAGCCCACACAGCAAGTTATCTTACAGATAATGTACTAAGGAACCCCTTCCTGATTCCTCTTTCACCACCCACGCCCAGACGGACCCAACTTCCCGAAGTAGGAACATGAAATGGAACCGCCCCTTGGTAAGCAGAGGTTACCAATAGGCACCTGCAAACATGCAACCCAAAAGATGGAAGGGTCGCCAATAATCGAACGCGTCCCGCTCTCCCGAACCAACTCGACGGCAAGGCCGAATGATGCCAAAGATACAGAACAGGTCTGCGTCGATGTCCTCATTTACCGATGCCCTTTTCGGGTGCGATAAGTTTTGTATCAGACGGAATTTGCCCGTCCCTTTCTAGGGGACACCCCCCCCACGGAGACACCCACAGATCCGCTAATGGCGGGGATGTAACGGACCCGCCATCCCCCAAATTGGGCTTCCTCACGTGACCACTCGCGAACCAATCCCAGATCTTCCACCATGAACTTGATATTCACCCACCACTTTTCCTGGTCCCTCGACTTTGAATGGAATAGCGAAAACCCCCCCTAATAATCCCAGCCATAAAACTAGCGCCTTCATGGCCGCAGGCGTCACGCCTCTGCCCTAGTGAAATACTGCCAGATGAAGCTGAAGCGCTGCACTGAGACCTCATTTTCTCCCGGGAACTGGACCTCCTCCTACCACACCGACTTCTTGATGGGCTGCTCACCTGCTCCTTCATCCCTCATCCGACCTCCTGCTGCTGCGCCTGTCATTGTCCCTGCGCTGCTCCCTCCCGTACTCACACCTGCTGACGCTCCTCCTGTGTTCCCGCTCCTGAGAACCCCCCCCATAGGGCTCCCACTGGCCTCTGTCCCTTACATCCATTTCCACCCGTCCTTGTCCTCTCTTATGCCCTCTGCTTGCAGTAACTGGCCTCTTCCCGGCCGCCTCATCCACTTGTGGCCCCTTTAATTAATCCTGGTTGCTGGCCTTCCACTCCATAGCTGCTCTGCTGTGCCTGTGAAGACTCTGCCTGCTGCTTTCACTATCCCCTTCCTTCACCTCTGACCTGAACCTGGCCCCATCCAGGGCCGCCTCCGTCTGTGTCCCGCCGACCTGGACCCCCCCTCACCTGCCCATTGGGGGGAGGGGACCGCTTTTACACTGCTGGCCCCTTGCATCATTCCCCCCGTCCCTCAGGTATGCCACCAGGGGCAGACTCACCAGGATGCCTCTTGCCGCTCTCCCTTCCCGGCGGCCATCATGTCATGCTGGATTCCGCTGTCCTTTCTGCTTTCCCGCCTCCCCCCGCCTTACGGCAGGGGGCGCTCTTCCTGTGCGGCCTCATCATGGCCTGCCACCTTGCCTGACCGGCGCCGCGTCGAACAGACGGCGCTGGCCGCCCTCCAACTCCCGCCTGCTTTCCGACCTCGTTTTCATCTGTCCCCCTGCCGCCTCCTGACAGGCTCTTGGGCCGCTGAACTGCTGATGTCGCTCCCGGGCTGCCGCTGGGGCGGCCTGGCTCTCCTTGACGGCCTCCGTTCCATCACCGCGTGGGGGGGGAGCAGATGTGCTCGGGGCCCCGCAGCTGCTCCTGAAGCCACCAGCCACGATTTCTGCCACAACCTTTGTGTCCACGATGGTGGCTTGCTTGGAGTTCTGTCTGGGGCTGATGGGAGTGATCATGTAGTAGCATCTCACTCCAGCCTCTCCTGTATCTCCATGCTGCCTCCTGTCTCAGTACTGCCTGTTCTCCATGCTGCCTTCATGCTGCCTGTTCTTCATGCTGCCTCCATGCTGACTGTTCTTCTATGCTGCCTTCATGCTGCCTGTTCTTCTATGCTGCCTCCATGCTGCTGCCTTCTCCCTCCAGGGCAGGCAGCTTTCACAACTGACAGGTAAGCTTAGGTTCAGTTAAAATGGCCACTTCATATAATGGCTGGTATAAATACTCCCCTTATGGCTCCGTCCTACCCAGCATGCTAGCTGTCACTAAATTCCTGTGGCTGTTATGCCTACCTCCTGGCTCTGTCAAGGCCTATTCCTCTTAGCTGCGCTGAACCATGGGCTACACGAATTGTAGTGAATTGATACAAAAAGAAAAAGCTAAATTCTGTGTCTATGTGATAAATTCTGTGACTATAGCAATTAATACCATGCTGAATGTCGCTCCAATCTGTTTCATCAAAAGTCCTTCTCGTCTTTATCTGGTAAAAAATATCTGTTTTCAAAATATATCGTAATACAGAATATATTTGTTTAATTAACAGATGTAGGCTGTGCTGTTGTTTCTTTGAATAATCTCTCTAACTTGGTCCTGTGTATTTAAAATATTATTGTTGAAATGGCCAGTAATAAAGCCTGCGTTGCTATAGCGATGCAGAGAGATTAATAAGTTCATAAGAACACAGTATTATCACACGTCCTCTTACAATGTCCCCATTTATAACAGTGCCGCTAATGTAAGGTAAAGCTTGGAAAGCAATTAGGATTAGGTTCGGATAAAAGGTCGTTTAGAGGGGGCTTAGGGTTGGTTCTGTTTCTGAGTTATGAGAATTTGGGATTTAGGGGGCTATGAGATAAGGTTAACTCCTCATTACATATAATAAGTGTATTCGCGGACTGGACAGGAGATGAAGTTTGATTCTGCCGTATCCACGCTTTTATAGAAGGGAATATTTTCCCATGTTTTCCCTGTTCCTCCACGATTTTGTGGCTGGATTCTGTAAAACTGCGCTATTACTGTCTATTATCAGTGAGAAACCATTTCCTATAGAATTACTACCGTATTGTGTTAATGTTGCACAAGGAGATTTGTCTCGCAATCTTTGTACATACCAGTTGTCTTGTTGTTTGCTCTCTTCCATGTCAGAAGCCCTGCATGGATCAAACGTTTTTTAGTGAGGTCCAAGTCCTGTGGATATGAGAAGAAATTTACTGTGTTACTGATTTACTGATCTGATAGATATAATAAAGATATATATATATATATATTGTGCAGTTCCAGTTATAAACACTAGAGGCGCTATGACACTCTTACAGCACGTGCGCTCTGGCTGGAATATTTCCACACATTGTCTACACTGGTTTGTCCCCTGGGTTAATATTTGCCAACCTGCCTCCTAGAATTATGGAGTATAATACCCCCAGGCTTACTGCAAACTCTGCTGCCGTGGGATGTTTGCTCTTTTTTAGAGACGTTGTATCCAGATGTTTCTGAATCTCTGCCAGGGTTAGTTGATTCTCAATCCTGGTCATCGATGACTGCAAGAGCACAGCGCAGACTGCTCAATGAGGTGAAGAAGAATCCTAGAGTGTCAGCTAAAGACTTACAAAATGCTAACATCCCTGTTAGGGAATCTACAATACGTAAAACACTAATCAAGAATGGATTTCATGGGAGGATACCACAGAGGAAGCCACTGCTGTCCAAATAAAACATTGCTGCACGTTTATAGTTTGCACAAGAGCACCTGGATGTTCCACAGCAGTACTGGCAAAATATTCTGTGGACAGATGAAACCAAAGTTGAGTTGTTTGGAAGAAACACACAACAGTATGTGTGGCGAAAAAAAGGCACAGCACACCAACATCAAAACCTCATCCCAACTGTGAAGTATGGTGGTGGGGGCATCATGGTTTGGGGCTGCTTTGCTGCGTCAGGGCCTGGACGGATTGCTATCATCGAAGGAAAAATGAATTCCCAAGTTTATCAAGACATTTTGCAGGAGAACTTAAGGCCATCTGTCTACCAGCTGAAGCTCAACAGAAGATGGATGTTGCAACAGGACAATGACCCAAAGCACAGAAGTAAATCAACAACAGAATGGCTTAAACAGAAGAAAATATGCCTTCTGAAGTGGCCCAGTCAGAGTCCTGACCTCAACCCGATTGAGATGCTGGGGCATGACCTCAAGAAAGCATTCACACCAGACATCCCAAGAATATTGCTGAACTGAAACAGTTCTGTAAAGAGGAATGGTCAAGAATTACTCCTGACCGTTGTGCACGTCTGATCTGCAACTACAGGAAACGTTTGGTTGAAGTTATTGCTGCCAAAGGAGGTTCAACCAGTTATTAAATCCAAGGGTTCACATACTTTTTCCACCTGCACTGTGAATGTTTACATGGTGTGTTCAATAAAAACATGGCAACATTTCATTATTTGTGTGTTATTAGTTTAAGCAGACTGTGATTGTCTATTGTTGTGACTAGATGATGATCAGATCACATTTTATGACCAATTTGTGCAGAAATCC